TTACAGACGATACAGCCTAACAGACGCAACTATTGTATTAGTCCTGTAGAGCTTGGTTACAGCGACCCTTCCTACCGTGCTGCATTGTCTTTTCCTTAAAGTCGACATATATCTTAAACTCGGCTTAAACAATATCTCATGGCTAGAGGCAGAAGGACAATCATATAACTTTTGTCTGATGACCAATAATTATTATCAATTAACAATATAACAATAATTCATATAAGAAATATATTGTGGAATAATTTATTAGCCTAACAATGATTTATTTCAGTTTTCAGTAAAATTTCACAACGAAAATTTCATAACTTGATAATGAACTTGTTTGTTCTTCATATTATAACAAGTTCAGGGTCAACACATAACTTCTTCATAACTGGGCGTGGTGAATGATGTTCTCTGGACAGTGAGACACTTCACCCATTAGTTATGTTCTATTAACCTTGTGGACGTCAACAATACTTGTGACGCATAAACCTTTAATAACAGAGTCATATAATAATGGCCACACTAGTTTGTGTAGTGACCTAATGTGTCAACTATCTTATAATTATCTTACAGAATATTTATCTTTTGGGTCCCACCTGTTCCTACTCAAATAACATTTAACAATTCAAGTGGTGAAATTCTTTGGAACTATATGTTGATCAATGGATTCCAGATGTGTTCAGAAAGTCTTGTGACAGAGGAAGTTCTTCTTAGAAAGCCATCTTCTTGACCCAGGCGAGGTACTGCTCCTCACGGATGTTGGCGCACAGGCCGGGGAAGTCTTTGTGCCCACAGGCAGCACCACGAGACACGACGCCTGCCATGGTGTATTGCCCAGCTGAATTCCTCGACACCAAGGGGCCACCAGAGTCACCCTGATGACCACAACACACAACATTATTCATTTAATTGCAATACAAACACACTGTAGTAAACAAACATTAATACGCCGACAATCTGCTGCTTCAGGTGTTGACACAATTACTACCTGGTGAACCTCTAGCTTTGTCCGCCACTAACTCCAACACTTAATTAATAAAGTTAACATAATAAATGAATTATAACTAAACATCCTCGTCCACTGTCAGTCCCACACAAAAAAGAAAAAAATATATAAAAGAAACAAATTACTTGACAATTCACTTATATAACTCCTTTATGGAAGGACAACACCTGCAACACCTCATTAATACACTATAATGTTTGTTACCTGGCAGGCGTCTCTTCCTCCCGCTCGGTCTCCAGCACACACGGTCTCCTTCCCGATGCCTCTTGGGAACTGTTTGAGATAATCGTCTCGAGTAGAGTAACTCTTGTCACAGTCTGAGGATTGGAATACTGTTATCTCCACCTCCTGCAGCACCGAGCTTGGCTCACCAGCTGTAGAAAATAATAATAATAATAATAATAATAATAATAATTGTTACTAGAATCCGGTGTATGATGTGATGGCAAGATAAACTTTGTATTCATATCAAACCCCAAGAAGGTAAATTGTAACGTGTGAATAAAGAATTTCTTTTTATTTAATCTCTCGGTAGTAAAGTGAAGGAACTGACCAAACTCAGTGTCACCCCAGCCAGCAATAATAGCCTTCGTGCCAGTCAGGTCGTTGATGCTCTCCTGCCCCCACGGTAGACACACCGGGTTGATGAATGGCTGAAACAAAAATAAAATTCAGTTAGATTTCCCTGTCAAAAAATATAATGAATCCAACCATTACGACTGTGACCTATTTGATCTATTAGGACTGTCACCTATTTAGCCCATCACCATTTGTTCCTCTTCAGTAAGATGTAGTTTGGGTGGTAATATTTAAGACAGTTAATGCTCTTATATACGGGTATTATCAGGATGTAAGTATTTATTAACATACTCAAGTAGCAGTTCATGAGACTTTGAGGTTGTAAGTCTTCCCTAAGTCTTCATCACAAGTCTCTTTAGGGCTGAACAAGGACCGAGGAAATGTTGGTGAGTACACAGAGGCAATGACCGAAGACTTGCAAGTATTGATAAGAACCAGACCAAAGTAACCAAGACAAAATGCTGAGATACTATGAATTACATCTCACTTCACCTCAAGGTAAAATAATCAATCTAGTAATTGGTTTGGTTTCGGCAATTTAACCAAGAAAAGAGAGAGAGAGATAGGATTGGTAAACGAACCTTCAATATCACTCTACGGTTTAGCTTGAGAAGAGCTAGGTCGTGGTAGCCCTGGGGGTGCACGTAGTCAGGATGCAAGATGGTCTCTGCCACACCGAAGTCCTCATGAGCGGCGCCGTCTCCATCATCATTGTAGTCATGTTCACCCAGGCGCACCACTGTCACTGTCCTGTAATGTTCAGATCATTCAATCATCCTAATTCCTTTTAATCCAAATAAGATATTTTTTGACGCTACTAGTGACTTCTCTCAAAAGGTAAATTCAGGCATAATTAAAGTGACATGGTTAAGATTTTACAAGTGTTAAGCCAAAGTTATTTGTCAGTCATTGGAGACATAAACATCATTGTTTGACGACTACCATAATCCTGTTTTAAAGTTCAACATGACAGTTTTGTCTCACGTCTGAGGGATTATCTACCAGTCACTGAGGTTACTACTACACTATAGTAAGGTGGATGTTTATCTCTGAGAGCCTTAACTTACTCCCCATAGACACGAGCTACTACGAGCGACCAACAGTCCAACGTTCCCCACCAGCCCGCCACAAACACTGTCTAGACAGCTACACCAGATTAAATAGTTCGCTTCCTCCTGCCACTGTTTGTCTGACACCGACCACACACCTGTTACACCTGACCTTGTATTATAAGTTTATGTACAGATTTACGTCATCCTCTACTTACCTGGACAAGAAACAATGAAGAGCGGTAAGGACCCACTGCTTGTTGATGAGCGCTCCTGCACAGAACCAAGTGATGGTGCCCTGTTCATTGATGTCCCCGAGCAGCGCCTGCAGACATCCATCGTCAAATACTTATAATATATGTTTCTTATTCTTGTGTACGCTTGTGAATTGGTTTCTATGTAAATATATTTTGTTAAAAAAAAAATAATAATAATAATAATAATAATAAATAAAATAAAATAAAATAAAATAAAATAAAATAAAATAATATTATATAATACAATACTATACAATACTATATTATATTATATTATATTATATCAAGAAAGCATTACCACTTATAAGGAGAACATAATATGTAATTTATATTATAAACTACAAAATTATTCTTTGTCTACAACATGAAGCATCTCGACCGTCAGTGTTTACATCACATACACTGTGACATTCACCTTATGTTTCAGTGTCCTGCAGCTATTACCATTACTTTAACTTATTCCTACATCACACAGTCTAGTGTGAAAAACTCAGTTACTGACAAAGAAACTCCGTATAAGATGATAATGAATCGGGAAGCAGCCAAACTTACCTATAATAACTGATGTAATGTGAGTGTTTATATATTGTGTCAATATATTCATAAGGAAAATCAATGAGCTCCTCACCATCCATGGCCAGGCGTTCTTTACTGCTATTACTCCGCCAACTACGCGAGGGACAACACTATCAAAGGCTTTTGCTGAAACCGAAGGTTGTGCTTCTGCAGCCGATCCACCTTGTTGGCGCTTTGCAGAAGAAAGTGGACGTTCCACACGCGCCGACGGATCATTAAAAGCGGCCACGGGAATCCCAGGGCGAGGTCGACTGGGGATGCCAGACCCCGAGGGAGAAGTGGGTCTCACAGGCCTCATGGTCGGGATGGGTACGGGAAAGACATCCGACGAGAAGTGACTGCTGCTGGTAGCGTCAGGCCTCAAGATGAACTCCTCATAAGGACTCTCGAGTAACAAGCTAAAAGTTCTGTGAGGGTTTGTTCCACATTCTGTAATGTCGGTAAGTAAGTAAACCAAATGTTGCTACTTATAATGTATCTTTATTGAAACAATTAATATAAATACAAGTAAGAATTAATAGCATAAATATTTTAGGTGTAATTAAGACAACGGCAACACATGATCTCTGGTTACTTACGGAAGTTGACGGCAGGTGGAGAGATGTCCCAGATGGCCGCTGTGTATGAAACATTGACACCTTCGTTAGTATCTGTCCTAACACATCCTTCAGTGTACAGGGATGTGTATGAGGAGTTCAGCTGGTGTGTGTGTGTGTGTGTGAGAAGGTCCAACTATCGTATGCATACTTTATTCAACTGTACAGTAATTAAGTCTAAAATAATTTAAGTTACTACAGCAACACTCGACATAAAGAGATAGACAGAAAGAGACAGAAAGACAGACTAGACTTCAATAATGTAAACATTTCAATCCTTCACGGAGTATTCACATGACGTCTATAATACTTGATACATAACAGAGGACAATTACCTCCAGTTGAAGGGCAACAGACAATGGGGAAGACGCCGCTGTACCCACATATGACTGGCATGTTGAGGCGGTACGTCTGACCAACAAATGGACACTTGCGGATATTAAGACAGGTTCCGGGGCCGCCTGTGTGAGCTGTGCAGGAAGACCCTGCCGGCAGGTCCAGTATGTTTACTGGTGCGGAAGAGAGAAGAGCACAGTGTTTATTAGTTATTCCCACCTGCTAGTGTGTGGCAGCCTTGAGATTACTTATTCCATCACCACACACACACACGTCTTGACCAGTGTGGCCATGTTTAGTTATTCTAACAACATATATTGGCCACAGTGGACCAGGATACTCACTCGGTTTCTTTGTGGTAACTAATTGATGGCCTGTGAAGTTTCCATGACCCCGTGTACTGGCCACTGTGGCCAACACAACAAGAGCCACCAACACCAGAGACACCTGCGTATGGCCCCACATGTTCCCTCCTCACACACCTGGATCCACAACACAACTGAGACCTCAACCGGATCGGGTCCTCATATAAGAGTTGCTGCTGGAGTTGCCATAATCTGATTTCTAAAATAATGTGTTCACTGTCATACTGCTTTGTTCACAATATATAGTAATACATGTACAAACAGTGACGCAACGTGGACGTACTATTTGAGGGATGGCACAAACTACTATAATACTCGACATTAAAGACAGAATAACACAATAAGAACCAAGGAATGACGTCACGTGTTCTGGGCATGAATTATCAAAGTGAACATCAGTAAGATTCTGGAAATGATCATTATGGTGTAATCTCTTGAGCCAGACTTTCTCAATATGTTTTTGTGCGTGTTTTTCCCTAGATGTAAGATAACACACACACACACACACACACACACCATACATACACACACACACACCATACACACACACACACACCAAACACACAACACACACACAAAAAACACACACACACACCAAACACACAACACACCAAACACACAACACACACACAAAACACACACACACATTACTACTACTACTACTTTTTTCTTTTTTTTTAATAACGCCTCCAGCCTCCCCCAATAGCTCACCTTCGCCACCATTTTATTACCTTAATATTAAATATCCTAATACATAAGTAGCTATCCTAGCTGTGTTGAGTTAGTTGAGCCGCGGTTCTACTACTACTTTGCTGTCACTTGGTATCGAGTTCGACGATCATCCAGCGATGATACAAAGATACGAGTTATTAGGGATGTCCCCTTCATTGGTGAGTTTTGAGGTGACTAAAGAGGCCGATACGGGACCGGCAGAGATGTTCACAGAGGTTGCACATGTGGAGGGCTACATCGAGTGCGGGAAGGGCGGTGGCAGCGTGTTTCCGGAGTTGACGATTGTCTGCCTCGGTTTGTAGTCGGGCTAACTCGAAAGTATTGACACCTTCTCGTGTGGTGATCCTCCAAGCGTCACGATGTGGAGTGATCTGGTCCCAGGTGAGGGGGTCGATTTGGCACTTTTTCAGGTTTGTCTTAAGATTATCCTTATACCTTTTCAGTTGCCCGCCGGCGTTACACACCCACACACACACACACATAAATTCACACACATACATACACACACACACAAATGCGAGCGCGAATGTGTATGTACGTGAGTATGTGTGTGCATAATAATAATAATAATAATAATTAACGGTTTATTGAAAGAGCTTGGCAGCCAGAAGGCTGAAAATATACAGTTACATATTTGGGGAATGGGTTACGAATTACAAATAATATACAAGTGACATAAGTGACACAAATAAGACATATAGTAACTTAGATGGGGATCAGCTCAAACTACAGTTCATTTCAACATAGTGACAGTGTAGGGAGCAGTGTTTACTGGGAGTGAATACACTGATTTATTACATGTTATTGATAATTTTTACAATGGTTGGGACTGGGCTGTTCTTATAGCGATCAGTTCGTGCACGTATGGGCTGGATGCGGTTGTGGTGTCGAACAGCAATTCTCGGACAGGGGATCTCAGGTGGTAGTAGGGGCCGGTGTCGGGGATGGTGTAGAAGCTTCTTACCAAATTTGCAGATGAGGCCGTGGTGATGGTCAGTGAGAGTCGAAAGGGTCAGTGTGTTGAGCGCTTCTTGATATGTGGAGTAGGAAGGGGAGAGAATAATCTTGCATGCCCTCTTTTGCACTTTTTCTAGGTGTTTACGTTGTGTGGCATTTAGGGAGGAAGACCAGGTGGGGGAGGCATAGGTGAGCTTGGGAAGTATGAATGTTGTGTATACACTGAGGAGCTCGTGTGCAGGAACTCCGAGGGACTTGAGTCGGCGGAGGAGGTGGAGACGGAAACTGGAGGATTTGACAACTTCACTGACGTGTGGTTTCCAATTTAGTTTGTTGTCTATGGTGACGCCGAGGAGCTTCGTGGAATCTACAACCTGGAGTGTGTTCGGACCTAGGGTAATGGAAGGAGGTGGGACAATGTCGGAGGAGAGGTTGATGTGCATGACCATGGTCTTGGTATGGTTGATGGTGACATGGTTGTTGGTGGCCCAGTTTTGGAGACTGTTCAATAAATCCTGAAGGGCGGTATAGTTGGGAGCAGAATTGTTGACGCTGATCCCAATGGTGGAGTCGTCGACATATTTCCAGCGAGCAGGGGTTTCTCTTAGGGCATCATTGATGAGCATAAGGAAGCAGAGTGGTCCCATCTTGGTGCCTTGGGGACGCCACAGGTGAGTGACTGAAAGGTGGAGACAGCCCCTCGGAAGCGTACAGCTTGGCGTCGGTCACTGAGGAAGTCTGTAAGCCATGGTATGAGACTTCTCCGAAGCCCGAGGTCAATAGCTTTGTTTATGATTATATTGTGGTCGACTAGGTCGAACGCTTTAGTGAAATCAATGAAGGCGACAGCTACAGACGTTTTTCGTTTCTCGAGATGGCGGTATATGTAATCGAGAAAGCTGACAAGACAGTGAGTGGTGGAGGAAGTTTTCATGTTGCCAAATTGCTGAGGGTCTACGACTCCTGCAATATCAGCATAAGCCCAGTCCACAAAACTTTCACAGATGTATGTGCTCGTGTGTGTACATGTGTGTGTGCTTGTGTGTGTACATGTGTGTGTGCTCGTGTGTGAGTGTCTGTATTTTTGTGTATGTATGTGTGCGTGTGTGTCTGTCTGTGCGTGTTTTTATCTGTGTGCGCGCGCTTGACAAGTTTTCCTAGAGTGGTCACGTGTCGCCCCGTTGCTATCCACCAGACTTGTTCTCCCAGGTGTGGTGGTGGTAAACACACTCACACGTGTACCCACAAACACACACACGTGCACTACTATACACACATGCTCTAGTACACACACTCACATACATGCACTCATACATACTCACACAGACATAAATAAACTGAAGTTGTTGAATGTTGGCCACAGTGACCTTTTGCACCCACCTTGGTGTTATTAGTTGGTCATAGTGGCCACACAACAACAAAGGTAACAGTGCCGTGGCCTTACACTTACCTGGAAGGTGAACCAAACTTCACAGTTCTTGTTACTTCACTGTTCATGACGCACGCCCACAGGTGCTCCGCCACCACAAGTATTAAAACCTTTTCAGTCTTGACAGTTCCTCCCAAAATGTTAATAAACAGCGTAAATAATGATCATGGAGATAAGATAGACGGGAACAAGACATATACAGAAGACAACAACTAATAACCGTCAACTAACAGTGATGCCAGTTGCGGGATACAGTACTTGTTCCTTGTGTATTGTATAGGGAAATGCCCGCGGTGACGATGGCCTTATTATTATTATGATTATAATTTAGTGTTTCACAAATATAGTATTTTCCTACAACAAATATGTATACTATTAATATTTTGATTAAATTGGTGACAAAAATAACCTTTCCTTCCGTAGCCGAGAGAGTTACTAACCATCTATGTTAAGTTAAGCCTTGCTAACCAGACCTAATTTAACCTAACTCAACTCTTGTTAGGTTACGCCTGGCAGTAGCCGGGAGGCATCGGGAAGGAGACCGTGTGTGCTGGAGACCGAGCGGGAGGAAGAGACGCCTGCCAGGTAACAAACATTATAGTGTATTAATGAGGTGTTGTCCTTCCATAAACGAGTTATATAAGTGAATTGTAAAGTAGTTTGTTTTTTATATATTTTTCTTCTTTGTGTGGGACTGACAGTGGACGAGGATGTTTAGTTATAATTCATTTATTATGTTAACTTTATTAATTAAGTGTTGGTGTTAGTGGCGGACAAAGCTAGAGGTTCACCAGGTAGTAATTGTGTCATCACCTGAAGCAGCAGATTGTTGGTGTATTAATGTTTGTTTACTACAGTGTGTTTATATTGTTCATTAATTAATAATGTTGTGTTTTGTGGTCATCAGAGAGACTCTGGTGGCCCCTTGGTGTCGAGGAACTCAGTTGGGCAATATCTTCCCAGGTGGTAGTACAGTACCTCATTATTTCCTTAATATTATCTTAACATGAAATGCCTTTTCTTGTTATACTAAGATCATCATATTAGTTGTTGAAGTTCTGTCATGCTTAAAGGCAGAAGGACAATCATTTAACTTGTGTCAGGTGATCAATATTTATTCTAGAATGATAGCATAAAATAACGTAATGGATCCTCAGTAAGAACTTTATAACTTGATATTGAACTTGATTGTTCTTCATATAACATGGTTCAGGGGGAACACATAACTTGTTCATAACTGGGCATGGTGAACGGTATCATATAATAATGGTCACACTTGTTCAGTACTCAAATAACATTTACCAATTCAAGGAGATGAACTTATATGCAACTATAGGTCTATGTTTATCAATGGATTTCAAATTTGGTCAGAAAGTCTTATAAAATTCTTGTGAAGGAGGAAGGTGCTCTTAGAAGGCAGTCTTCTTGACCCAGGCGAGGTACTGCTCCTCACGGATGTTGGCGTACAGGCCGGGGAAGTCCTTGAGGCCACAGCCAACCCCACGAGACACGACGCCTGCCATAGTGTATTGCCCAGCTGAGTTCCTCGACACCAAGGGGCCACCAGAGTCTCTCTGATGACCACAAAACACAACATTATTAATTAATGAACACTATAAACACACTGTAGTAAACAAACATTAATACACCAACAATCTGCTGCTTCAGGTGATGACACAATTACTACCTGGTGAACCTCTAGCTCTGTCCGCCACTAACACCAACACTTAATTAATAAAGTTAACATAATAAATGAATTATAACAAAACATCCTCGTCCACTGTCAGTCCCACACAAAAAAGAAAATATATAAAAGAAACAAATTACTTGACAATTCACATATATAACTCCTTTATGGAAGTGCAACACCTGCAACACCTCATTAATACACTATAATGTTTGTTACCTGGCAGGCGTCTCTTCCTCCCGCTCGGTCTCCAGCACACACGGTCTCCTTCCCGATACCTCTTGGGAACTCTTTGAGATAATCCTCTAGAGTAGAGTAACTCTTGTCACAGTCTGAGGATGGGAATACTGTTATCTCCACCTCCTGCAGCACAGAGCTTGGCTCACCAGCTGCAGAAAAGAAAAGAAAATAATAATAATAATTATAATAATAATAATAATAAATATTTATTACTAGAATCCGGTGTATGATGTGATAACAAAAAAACTTTGTATTCATATGAAACACCAAGAAGGTAAATTGTAACGTGTGAATAAAGAAAAAAAAAGGAATTGTGTTAATCTCTCGGTAGTAAAGTGAAGGAACGGACCAAACTGAGTGGCACCCCAGCCAGTAAGAGTAGCCTTCGTGCCAGTCAGGTCGTTCATGCTCTCCTGCCCCCACGGTAGACACACCGGGTTGATGAATGGCTGAAACAACAACAAAATTCAGTTAGATTTCCCTGTTAAAAAATATAACTGAACCCAACCATTATGACTGTGACCTATTTGATCTATTAGGAATGTCACTTATTTAGCCCATCACCATTTGTTCCTCTTCAGCAAGATGTAGTTTGGGTGGTAATATTTAAGACAGTTAATGCTCTTATATACGGGTATTATTATCAGGATGTAAGTATTTATTGACGTACTCAAGTAGCAGTTCATGAGACTAAGAGGTTGTAAGTCTTCCCTACTAAGTCTTCTTCACAAGTCTCTTTAGGGCTGAACAAGGACCGAGGAAATGTTGGTGAGTACACAGAGGCAATGACCGAAGACTTGCAAATATTGATAAGAACCAGACCAAAGTAACCAAGACAAAATGCGGAGATACTATGAATTACATCTCACTTCACCTCAAGGGAAAATAATCAATCTAGTAATTGGTTTGGTTTCGGCAATTTAACCAAGACAAGAGAGAGAGAGAGATAGGATTGGTAAACGAACCTTCAATATCACTCTACGGTTTAGCTTGAGAAGAGCTAGGTCGTGGTAGCCCTGGGGGTGCACGTAGTCAGGATGCAAGATGGTCTCTGCCACACCGAAGTCCTCATGAGCGGCTCCGTCTCCGTCATCATTGTAGTCATGTTCACCCAGGCGCACCACTGTCGCTTTCCTGTAATGTTCACACTACTCCTTCATCCTAAATCCTTTAAATCCCAACTTGACAGCTTTGTCTCACGTCTGCGGGATCATTTACCAGTCATCCTAAATCCTTTTAATCCAAATACGTTAATTTTTGACGCAATAAGTAACTTCTCTCTAAAGGTAAATTCAGGCATAATTTAGGCGACGTGGTTAAAATTTTACAAGTGTTAAGCCAAAGTTATTTATTAGTCATTGGAGACATAAACATCATTATTTGACGACTACCACAATCCTGTATTAAAGTTCAACATGACAGTTTGTCTCACGTCTGAGGGATCATCTACCAGTGTCTGAGGTTACTACTACACTATAGTTAGGTGGATGTTTATCTCTGAGAGCCTTAACTTGCTCGCCATAAACACGAGCCACTACGAGCGTCCACCACTCCAACGTTCCCCACAAGCCCGCCACAAACACTGTCTAGACAGCTACACCAGATTAAATAGTTCACTTCCTCCTGCCACTGTTTGTCTGACACCGACCACACACCTGTTACACCTGACCTTGTATTATAAGTTTATGTACAGATTTTCGTCATCCTCTACTTACGTGGACAAGAAACAATGAAGAGCGGTAAGGACCCACTGCTCGTTGATGAGCGCTCCTGCACAGAACCAAATGATCTTGCCCTGTTCATTGGTGTCCCCGAGCAGCGCCTGCAGACATCCATCGTCAAATACTTATAATATATGTTTCTTATTCTTGTGTACGCTTGTGAATTGGTTTCTATGTAAATCTATTGTATTAAAAAAAACATTAAATAAAATAAATAAATAAATGAATAAATATAAATATAAATAATATATATATATATATATATATATATATATATATATATATATATATATATATATATATATATATATATATATATATATATATATCAAGAAAGCATTACCACTTATAAGGAGAACATAATATGTAATATATATTATAAACTACAAAATTATTCTTTGTCTACAACATGAAGCGTCTCGACCGTCAGTGTTTACATCACATACACTGTGACATTCACCTTGTGTTTCAGTGTCCTGCAGCTATTACCATTACTTTAACTTATTCCTACATCACACAGTCTAGTGTGAAAAACTCAGTTACTGACAAAGAAACTCCGTATAAGATGATAATGAATCGGGAAGCAGCCAAACTTACCTATAATAACTGTTGTAATGTGAGTGTTAAAATATTGTGTCAATATATTCATAAGGAAAATCAATGAGCTCCTCACCATCCATGGCCAGGCGTTCTTTACTGCTATTACTCCACCAACTACGCGAGGGACAACACTATCAAAGGCTTCTGCTGAAACCGTAGGTTGTACTTTTGCGGCCGGTCCACCTTGTTGGCGCTTTGCAGAAGAAAGTGGACGTTTCACACGCGCCAACGGATCACTATAAGCGGCCTTGGGAATCCCAGGGCGACGTCGACTGGGGATGCCAGACCCCGAGGGAGTAGTGGGTCTCTTAGGCCTCATGGTCGTGGTGGGAACAGGAAATTCATCCGACGAGAAGTGACTGCTGCTGGTAGCGTCAGGCCTCAAGATGAACTCCTCATCAGGACTCTCGAGTAACAAGCTAAAAGTTCTCTGGAGGTTTGTTCCACATTCTGTAATGTCGGTAAGTAAGTAAACCAAATGTTGCTACTTATAATGTATCTTTATTGAAACAATTAATATAAATACAAGTAAGAATTAATAGCATAAATATTTTAGGTGTAATTAAGACAACGGCAACACATGATCTCTGGTTACTTACGGAAGTTGACGGCAGGTGGAGAGATGTCCCCGACGACCGCTGTGTATGAAACATTGACACCTTCGTTAGTATCTGTCCTAACACATCCTTCAGTGTACAGGTATGTGTATGAGGAGTCCAGTTGGTGTGTGTGTGTATGTGTGTAGGAAGGTCCAACAAGTTTATGCATACTTTATTCAACTGTACAATAATTAAGTCTAAAATAATTTAAGTTACTACAGCAACACTCGACATAGAGAGATAGACAGAAAGAGACAGACAGACAGACTAGACTTCAATAATGTAAACATTTCAATCCTCCACGGAGTATTCACATGACGTCTATAATACTTGATACATAACAGAGGAAAATTACCTTCAGTTGAAGGGCAACAGACAATGGGGAAGACGCCGCTGTACCCACATATGACTGGCATGTTGAGGCGGTACGTCTGACCAACAAATGGACACTTGCGGATATTAATACAGGTTCCGGGGCCGCCTGTGTGAGCTGTGCAGGAAGACCCTGCCGGCAGGTCCAGTATGTTTACTGGTGCGGAAGAGAGAAGAGCAGAGTGTTTATTAGTTAGTCCCACCTGCTAGTGTGTGGCAGCCTAGAGATTACTTATTCCATCACCACACACACACACGTCTTGACCAGTGTGGCCATGTTTAGTTATTCTAACAACATATATTGGCCACAGTGGACCAGGATACTCACTCGGTTTCTGAGTGTTTACCACTGTGGCCAACACAACAAGAGCCACCAACACCAGAGACACCTGCGTATGGCCCCACATGTTCCCTCCTCACACACCTGGATCCACAACACAACTGAGACCTCAACCGGATCTGGTCCTCTTATAAGAGTTGCTGCTGGAGTTGCCATAATCTGATTTCTAAAATAATGTGTTCACTGTTATACTGCTTTGTTCACAATATATAGTAATACATGTACAAACAGTGACGCAACGTGGACGTACTATTTGAGGGATGGCACAAACTACTATAATACTCGACATTAAAGACAGAATAACACAATAAGAACCAAGGAATGACATCACGTGTTCTGGGCATGAATTATCAAAGTGTGCATCAGTAAGATGCTGGAAATGGTCATTATGGTGTAATCTCTTCAGCCAGACTTTCTCAATAGGTTTTTGCGTGTATTTCCCAAGATGTTAGATAACTCACACACACATACACACACACACAAACATTACTACTACTACTACTTTTTTTCTTTTTTTTAATAACGCATCCAGCCTCCCCCAATAGCCCACCTTCGCCACCATTTTATTACCTTAATATTAAATATCCTAATACATAAGTAGCTATCCTAGCTGTGTTGAGTTAGTTGAGCCGCAGTTCTACTACTACTACTTTGCTGTCACTTGGTATCGAGTTCGACGATCATCCAGCGATGATACAAAGATACGAGTTATTAGGGATGTCACCTTCATTGGTGAGTTTTGAGGTGACTAAAGAGGCCGATACGGGACCGGCAGAGATGTTCACAGAGGTTGCACACGTGGAGGGCTACATCGAGTGCGGGAGGGGCTGTGGCAAAACGTGTTTCCGGCGTTGGCGCTTGTCTGCCTCGGTTTATAGTCGGGCTAACTCGAAAGTGTTGACACCTTCTCGTGTGGTGATCCTCCAAGCGTTACGATGTGGAGTGATCGGGTCCCATGTGAGGGGGTCGATTTGGCACTTTTTCAGGTTTGTATTAAGACTATCCTTATACCTTTTCAGTTGCCCGCCGGCGTTACACACACACACACACACACACACACACACACACACACACACATACATACATACACACAGATGCGAGCAAGCGTGTGTACGTGTCTGCGTATGTGTGTGCGTGTGCTCGTGTGTGTGTGCGTGTGTGTGGATGTGCATTTGTGTGTGTGTACAGTATGTGTCTGCGTGTGTGCGTGCGTGTGTTTGTGTCTGTGTGCGTGCATGCGTTTGTGTCTGTGAGTGTGTGTCTGTGTGTGTTCGTGTGTGTGTGCCTGTGTGCATGTAATAAAAAATAATAATAATAATAATTAACGGTTTATTGAAAAAGTCGGCAGCCCGACGGCTGAAAATATACATTAGACAAAAATGACTTATAAGAACATAAGAACATAAGAATGGAGGAAACTGCAGCGGGCCTATTGGCCCATACTGGGCAGTCCCGTTTACACCCAACCCCTATTGCTCATATAAGCATCCAACCTATGTTTGAAGCAATTCAGCGTATTCGAGTTAACGATGATATTTGGTAACTTGTTCCATTCATCCACTACTCTGTTTCCGAACCAGTGTTTACCTATTTCCCGCCTAAATCTAAATTTGTCTAATTCAAAACCATTGTTACGAGTTCGCTCCTGGTTGGATAGTTTGAGTACCTTTGTAATGTCCCCTTTGTTTAGCCCTGACTTCCACTTATGCACCTCTATCAGGTTGCTACATACAAAGACTCGGGGTGGGTGGGTCGTTTAACAAAAGCTTTCATTACTAAAAGAAGAAGGAACAATGATTGAACATACAAATTATTATAGTTTACAGTTGATGGCCCGGGCCTGGGCTGGTCATGGGGACACCGAGTGGTGTGGTGTTCACGTGGTGTAGTAACTCGTCCTCGGGTGTTGATATGAGGGACCCCGTGGTTATGGAGACACCGGGTGGTGTGGTGTTCACGTGGTGTAGTAACTCGTCCTCGGGTGTTGATATGAGGGACCTCCCGTGGTCATGGAGACATCGGGTGGTGTGGTGTTCACGTGGTGTTGTAACTCGTCCTCGGGTGTTGATATGAAGGACCTCACGTGGTCATGGAGACATCGGGTGGTGTGGTGTTCAAGTGGTACAGTGACTCGTCCTCGGGTGTTGATATGAGGGACCTCACGTAGTCATGGGGACACCTCACTGCACGGTGATGTTGTCTTATCCTGTAGTCAGCTGCATAGCCGGCCGGCCCTCTGTTGTTCCCAGGGTGGACGGATTAGCACCTCCTTGTCAGAAGATGGTGGTTAGTTCCCAGGGGTGCTTATCTCACTGGTGGGTCGCGGCTCTCACTGGTACTGTCTAGTGCGGAATTCACTGGCTTAAACACTGTTCATCACTGTTCAACACTGATAACACTTCTTTCCGAAACGAAATTGTCACTCTGATTATGTCGATATCCCGGTGGTGAGGAAGGGTCGGGGAGAGGGATTTGGGGAAATGGCCGACATTGGTCAAGGGGGCCAGCTGTGTAGCGGGACCAGCGCCTGAATAGGTCTTGACCCTACGGTGGTCAAGGATGTAGTGCATGTGTGCGTGTGCATGTGTGTGCGTGTACATGTGTGTGTATGCGTGTGTGTGTGTGCGTGTATGTGTGTGTGCGTGTGTGAGTGTGTGCTTGCGTGTGTGTGTGTGTTTGTGTAATAATAATAATAATAATAATAATAATAATAATAATAATAATAATAATAATAATAATAATAATAATAATAATATTAAACGGTTAATTCAAAGAGCTTGGCAGCCAGAAGGCTGAAAATATACAGTTACATATTTGGGGAATGGGTCTCTTGATTTACAAATAATATGCACGTAATATAAGTGATACAAATAAAATATATAATAACTAGATGGGGAAAAGCTCAAACTACAGGGCATTTCAACATAGTGACAGTGCAAGAAGTAGTATTAACTGGGAGTGAATATACTGGTTTATTACAAGTTATTGATAATTTTTACAATGGTTGGGACTGGGCTGTTCTTATAGCGATCAGTTCGTGCACGTATGGGCTGGATGCGGTTGTGGTGTGGAACAGCAATTCTCGGGCTAGGGATCTCAGGTGGTAGTAGGAGCCGGTGTCGAGGATGGTGCAGAAGCTTCTTACCAAATTTGCAGATGAGGTCGTGGTGATGGTCAGTGAGACTCGAAAGGGTCAGTGTGTTGAGCGCTTCTTGATATGTGGAGTAGGAAGGGGAGAGAATAATCTTGCATGCCCCCTTTTGCACTTTTTCTAGTTGTTTACGTTGTGATGTGTGTGTGTGTGTGTGTGTGTGTGTGTGTGTGTGTGTGTGTGTGTGTGTCGGTGAGTGTGTGTGGACATGTGTGTGTGTGTGTGTGTGTGCGTGTACATAAGAACATAAGAAAGGAGGAAACTGCAGCGAGCCTAATGGCCCATACTGGGCAGTCCCGTTTAGGCCCAACCCCTATTGCCCATATAAGCATCCAACCTATGTTTGAAGCTATCCAGCGTATTCGAGTTAATGATGATGTTTGGTAACTTGTTCCATTCATCCACTACTCTGTTTCCAAACCAGTGTTTACCTATTTCGCGCCTAAATCTAAATTTGTCTAATTTGAAACCATTGTTACGAGTTCGCTCCTGGTTGGATAGTTTGAGCACCTTTGTAATGTCCCCTTTGTTTACCCCTGACTTCCATTTATACACCTCTAACAGGTCGCCCCTCGCTCTACGTCTCTCGAGGGAGTGCAAATTTGATGCTTTAACGTGTCTCTATACTCAAGGTTCCTAATGCCCAGGATTAGTCTTGTCATTCTCCTCTTAATTCTTTCCAAGGATTCTATATCCATTCTGTAATACGGTGACCAGAACTGTACTGTTACAGACGATACAGCCTAGCAGACAGAACTATTGTATTAGTCCTGTAGAGCTTGGTTACAGCGACCCTTCCTACCGTGCTACATTTTCTTTTCCTTAAAGTCGACATATATCTTAAACTCGGCTTAAACAATATCTCCTGGCTAGA